TGAGCGTAGCCCTGTGGATACGAATGGAGAATGCAACAGATCCAGGCACTCCGAGACAAACTATTTTGATGTACGTATATAAAATTCATTATTCGTGTAAGCAATGGAACAACCAGTGACAAGACTGACAAACACGATATTACAATACATGGGCAGGGCCCTCACAGCATAACACAATGTACTAAAGCCATGTGTTTCGAAACGAGCGAGAGTTTTTCCTATTACATGGTACACGTATCGTATATATAATATATATATATATCTAAGTCGCAATCAAATACTTGCTGTATGAAAGATATCGATAGACACAAGTGTTATACAGTCAATGTCAGTCTATACTATAAGCTTTATCAGTATATGCTGGTATTACATAGACTATATCAGTCCATACGTCTATTATTTAATCGATATCCATCCATGCAACGTTATATATTAAATAAAACAATACTACTATGTAATCTATTTTGCGCTATACTAATACTGTATGTATTGTGTAATATATATCAGAACCAGTCTACACTAAAATTATATATAGTCTATACCAGTCCACACCAGTCCATACTAATATTATACAATGTAAATCAGTCCAGACTAATATTATCTATTTTATACCTGAGTGTCCATACTGTTATTATACATTCTATAACAGTCTATACTAATATTATATAGTCCATATCAGTCCATTACTGTCCATACTTGTATGGTATAGCGTATATCAGTCCGTCTATATTATGCTAAACTAATACAGAGCAGATATAGTATCTCAGTATACTTGTGCTTGTGAAGTAAATGTATTTATATTTATACAGGTCTGGGGCACCAGACGGCGTTGCAGCGGAGGGATTTAGTCTTGTGATACATAATGGTAAACTGATTGTTACAGTACGTGATACAACCAATAAATGGGAATCCTTGGTTTCAATGGCGGTGAGTTAAATACTTTATAAACCACAGCTAGAGTACCTATAACAACTTACTATATAAATGAAATAAATATTCAGTTCTGTTTTTTAAAGTAGATTAAAGTATAAGTTTATTCAATGTTACGCGACACACCATTTCAATGTTTAGGTGTTTGACGTCACTGTAGTCGGTGTCGATTTTTTTGTTTTCGCGATGTATTACATCATAATTAACAATATATATATATGTACTAAACAAAAGAATATTTTCCAATATCTGGTTTATTAAACGGGTGTAGCAATTTACAATTGTTAATGTTTTTTTTTAGAACAATTTACCTTACTCCTTTGAACGCAAAGAAGGAAATAGGAATTGTAATTTGTGTGCGCGTGGGAGTTAAATGAACCCGACATACATTTGGGAAACAAGCTCACAAGTTGGGGTTGGGAGCATCAGAAATGGTTTCTCATGAGATCGTCGCGACCATTTACGTTTAATGTGTATTGGGAGTAATACGGAAGTCGAAGCAACTATAAAGACTTAAAATGGGACTGGCAGTTTTCCCTAAAACACTGGCTGATAATTGATGTCATGAGGGTTAGAGGAACTGAATACGCAACGCAACTGAGGCAACAACAATTGATTTACAATTAATTGTAATAGCACATATCAATAGTTTACCTTCTAATTGTATCACAGGTGATACCTTATGGCAAATGGTTTAACTTGGCGTTTACATGGAACGCGAACGAGAACATTACATTGTACGTAGATGGCGTTGTTCGGGAGCCGGATAGCGTTCAGTACACAGATGAATTCACCAATACCCATTACGATGCTCTCACGCTGGGATGTAAGCTTAACGCCGGTGGCGCTCTTGATGAGTTCGGCGATTTTGACGTCTATTCCGTAGTTATCTGGGATGAATACACATATCAAGCCAAGCTACATAGACTGCTTGGACTTTCACGTATGTTTATAACTACTATTAATATAAAAGTTTGGTGTTTCTCTGGATAAATACATCAGTCAATACATTTTATTTTACCAATATGCATTGAAGTATCACAGGTATTTTGAATCGTTATGTAATATATTTATTTCCATAGCAACCGAACGGAAATACTATCTTTCGTCAGACCTGTACTGGCCATTTGAGCTGTCTGCTGCTGTTAGACTCGATCACCATTTTGAGTTAATGAATTCGGCAGTGTACGTCAATGATCGTATAACCGTCGGCAGAGCAGTGCACACTGATGGAGTTGATGGGTATGTGTCACTGGGTGATTTCAACGGCCATTGTCTGAGTGACCCAAGTTTGTGTCTTAATGGACTTGCTGTTGCATTATGGGTTAAGCTGGAGGACATCGCACTCGGCAGCGGACACGTCCTGAGCACCGGGGCGCAGAAAAGCGGTAAGTCAAACGTGCTATTATTCAGATACATAATGGTATGTAAAGTATAATTATGTTACTAATTGTTTATTCCGCCATTCGGTGATCGGGTGACATATAACACTATTACAAACGTATGTACTCTGCCGCATGGAATAAAGTAGTTCT